AAATAGGTAGTTCCAGAATAACCATGGGGATGTAAAGTACAGTATAGGAAATGGAGTAGCCAAAGAACCTATATGCATGACCCATGGACATGAACAGTGATGGGGGGATGAACAATTGCCTGAGGGAGTAGGGGTGCTGAGGGGAGGGGGACCAAGGGGGAAAAATTGGGATGACTGTAATAGCATTTTCTATGAAATATAATAAAAACATAAAACTAATAAAAGAAAAGAAAAAATATAAAAATGAAGAACAATACCATATGCTTCAAGGACATTGATCATTAATTGTCAACTTAGTGAAGTTCACTCTGAAAAATTCTCAGTCCAAAAATTAATCAGCATTTATGTAATTTGGATTCAGTGTTTTAATTTAAATCTTCCTCGAGGGTAAAGTGTTCTTTGAATCAAATGACATATACAAATGGCAATGTCCAAACACTCCTCCTGTGATGCCACAGCTATTTCCTCCCATCCTATGAGACAGGGGCCAAGAGAAGAAGCTGTCTTCATAGGAAGGCCGAGGAAATGGCAAAGCAGGCAGGATGCCCCCCACCTCCGAAGGCCCCCAACCTGGGTGCAATGAATCAGGAGGGTACTGCAATGGCCAGCACTTGGGACACCATCAGAGCCATCGCAGCCTGAAAGGGCCCAGATTATCTCAGGTGACTTCCCTCCAGGACACTAGGGCTGTGAAGCTTTCTAGAGATTAGTGTCATTTTACAGTTGGGGAAGCTGAGCACAAAGAAAAATTCAGCCTGTTCAGCGTCACACATCTACATGGTGGCAGAGTCAGGTCATTCCCTGAGCACTGACTCCACATCCCAGCCCCCTCCAGACCCTGGATGAGATGGGAAGTCCTGCTGCTACCACTAACCTGTAACTTGTGAGTTAGATCTGAGCCACCAGGACATCAGCAGTTCTTGAGCCTGTACAACATGAAAAGTTTGTCCCACTGCATGTGGGTCGAGACCTGAGAAAAGAGGAAATGAAGATGATTCTGTCATAGACTCTGCACCTATCTTCCAGTTTCCTACACAGTGTAGTCCTGATTAAAGATGGCAACAATGGGAAGGAGAAAGATGAAAGATTAAGGGGGACAAAGGAAGAGAAGGTGACTTGAGGATAGGAAGAAGGGATCTTGGGTCCTGACCCCGGGTTACTTGATTACATCTCAGGCTTAGGAAAGGCTTTCATACTAGGCTGCTGTTTCTCACGTGAGTTTTGAGTACATATCCGAACTTTTTATATTGTGCATATATATTACTTTGATTAAAGATGCAAATTAAGGGGAGAGGGAGCATAAGGGGACTAAGTGGTAATGGAAAAAATATAATAAAGATTATATACAGTCGCCCCTTGCTATATCGCAGTTCACTTATTGCAGCTTCACTGTACCAAGGCTTTTTTTTTTTTAAAGTATATCTAATTCTGTATCACAGAGTTTTCACTATGTTGAGGGATTTTGCAATATACTGTACCCATATAGAATTTTACATGTTGTTAAAATTACATAGGTTTAAGAGTGTAGAAAGCATTTAAGAGCATATGAAGTGTTTATAAGAGTGTGAGAAAGGTTAATAAGAGAGTGGGAAGGGTTTATAAAGCCTTAAAATATATGTAAATAATAAAATAAATATAACACCGCTACTTTGTGGATTTTCATCTATCACAGGAGTCTCTGGAATGTAACTCCAGCCATAGATGAGGGATCACTGTATATATTTTTTAAGATTTTATTTTATTATTTATTTTTAGAAAGAGGAAGACAGGGAGACAGAGAGGGAAAGAAACATCAGTATATAGTTGATTCTCGCACACCCCCTACTGGAGACCTGCCCAGCAACCCCTGCATGTGCCCTGACTGGGAATCAAACCAGCAACTCTTTGGTTCACAAGCTGGTGCTCAATCAACTGAGGCACACTGGCCAGGGCAGATTATATAATTTTTTAAAAGATGCAAATTAAAGCAGGAAAGACTTCAATTATGCACCAGGTAACTGAAGGAAAACAAAGCATTATCCTGGCAACTAGAGAGGTGAAGATCCCAGAGGCCAGGGAGCCTGAGGGAGGGGCTGGAGTAGGGAAATGAATCTTGTCTCTCCACGCCACACAGTGTTCCTATGGATTCACCACTGTCTTTAGCCTTTGTAGGATCATGGACTCTTTTAAAATTAGAAACCTCAATTCACCCCAGGAAAAATATATCCCAATATATGCATACCCACAAAATTATCCATGTAATTTCTTGGGTGCACAGACCCCAGATTAAGAGCTCCTATTCTATGTGCTGATGACCAACCAGACTGTTTTTCGAATCAAGACCTCTTTTCTGAGGTTCAAACCCACACATTCAACTGTCTTCTGCAAACCCTCATGGAAATCTCCAAAGTACCAGATAACCAAAACCAAACTCACCTTCCCCCAAGTTTACTCCACCTCCCATATTCCCGATCTAGGGACTGGAACCATCATCTACCCAATTGTCCAAGTGCAACACCTGCCATCAGCCTGCACCAGGAGGCCTCAGTGCTATCTGCACCTCCAAGTCCATGGTGGAGGTTTTAAACCATAGGGCCCTAGGCCTCACCCCTGGCCTCCTGAATCAGGGCCTCTGGGAGTGGGGTGCAGGCTGGCATGTCTGAAGAGTGCCTCTCCCCTGCAGAACATCTGTCCCAGCCTCACTCCAGTCACCACATCCAGTGGTTGCTACCTACTGAATTCATTAACTAAACGTGATAGAAAAAATCAAAGGTGAAAAAAGGATTCCTGTGCATTTGCTGACAAGGAGTGGCCCTGACAATGCCATGTACTCTTGACTCCAGAATATAATGGCATGTCAACTTGCAAAACCTAATACTAGTAATTGCAAGAGACCAAGAGAGCTATAGCTTCAAATGACAGATAATTCACAACTGTCCACTCTTGGAAAATCAGATTCCTCTTTCTCTGAAATCTCTGGCCTATTTTATAAAGATGAAGGCTGGAGAAAGATTTGAATGATATGAGCAAGAATATTAATCTAATATTGTCTACATATGCAAAAATCTTAAGTGAGAGAGCAGTAGATGCATCCGATATTGACAAGATAGATGGACTCTTCAAAGAAGCCAATACTCTTGATATGCCAATACTCTTTAATATGCTTTTTTTGTTTCATTTTTGTTTTTGTTTAGGTTCAGTTGTTAATAGTTGTGAGTTTGTTGTCATTTTACTGTTCATATTTTTTATCTTCTTTTTCTTAGACAAGCCCCTTTAACATTTCATATAATAAGGGCTTGGTGATGATGAACTCCTTTAACTTGACCTTATCTGGGAAGCATTTTATCTGCCCTTCCATTCTAAATGAAAGCTTTGCTGGATAGATTAATCTTAGATGTAGGTCCTTGCCTGTCATGACTTGGAATACTTCTTTTCAGCCCCTTCTTGCCTGCAAGGTTTCTTTTGAGAAATCAGCTGATAGTCTTATGGGAATTCCTTTGTAGATAACTGTCTCCTTTTTTCTTGCTACTTTTAAGATTCTCTCCTTATCTTTAATCTTGGCTAATATAATTATGATATGATTTGGTGTGTGCTTCCTTGGGTCCAACTACTTTGGGACTCTCTGAGTTTCCTGGACTTTCTGAAATTCTATTTCCTTTGCCAGATTGGGGAAGTTCTCCTTCACTATTTGTTCAAATAAGTTTTCAATTTCTTGCTCTTCCTCTTCACCTTCTGGCATTCCTATGATTTAGACCTTGGAATATTTAAACTTGTCCCAGATATTCCTGAGCCTCTCCTTGTTTTTTTGAATTCTTGTTTCTTCATTCTATTCTGGTTGAAGATTTCTTTCTGGTCCAAACCATTTATTTGAATCCCAGTTTCCTTCCCATCACCGTTGGTTCCCTGTTCATTTCCCTTTATTTCACTTTTTATAGCCTTCATTTGTTTATCTAATTTGTGACCAAAATCAACCAATTCTATGAGCATCCTGATTACCAGTGTTTTGAACTGTGCATCTGATGGGTTGGCTCTCTCTTCATCACTCAGTTGTATTTTTTCTGGACCTTTGATCTGTTCTTTCATTTTGGTCTTTTTTTTTTAATTTAAGATTTAGTCATCCATTTTTAGAGAGAGGAGAAAGGAGGGAGAAAGAGAGAAACAGCAATGTGTAGTTGGCTCTTGTGCTCCTCCTACTAGAGACTTGGCCTGCAACCCAGGCATGTGCCCCTTTGGTTCACAGGCCCACGCTCAATCCACTGAGCAACACCAGTCAGGGCTATTGAAAACTTTCTAACATAAGAAGGAGAGCTCCTGAGACATAAGTCTACAGTGATTTCAAACATACTGCACAGATAAAATAATGAACTTACAATAAGCTGATTCAAACCCATTATTGTTGTGATGAAAGAATGACACATATGCTCTGAAAGCTCTCTAGTTGTTAAAGAAAATGTATACTTTAAACACAGAAGGGGAAATCCTTAATTTCTTCTCTTGATTTAAAGGGTGCTTTAAACTGGATATTAATATGGAGTATGTAGCTTTTTTTCTGAGGATCAAATATTTGGTGTGTTTTATAAAAGTGTAAATTATTGAAATTATATATAGATTCTTTCTTTTTTTTCTTAAACCCCCTAGCCTTCAACTTCTGAAAGAGAACTCAGTGAGTTAATATGATAATATTTAACAACATTATACTTTTTTAAAGATTTTATTGACTTATTTTTAGAGAGGAAAGGGAGGGAGATAGATAGAAACATCAATGTGCGGTTGCTGGGGGTCATGGCCTGCAACCCAGGCATGTACCCTGACTGGGAATCGAACCTGCGACACTTTGGTTCGCAGCCCGAGCTCAATCCACTGAGCTACGCCAGCCAGGGCAACATTATATTTTTAAAAATATTTTGTTTAAATAGCAGATAGCTTTGGAGATCGTTTTAAAATGTTTTCTATGGTCAGTATTACAAAAAAATTAAAACCCAAAGGTGATTTCTCCAGTTTTGCAACATGTAATAGAGTACATGTGCTCTCAGTTACGCTACTGCAACACCCTCCTTACTGGTCTGCCTATCTTCAGTCTGACCTCCTCCAATCTTCCTTCTGTAGCCAGAGCAAACATTCTGAAACGCAAATCTGACTACATCATTCCCTTGCTTAAAGCAGTTCAGTGGCCCCCTTGTGTCTCGCAGGATAAAGTGCACACTGCTTAACAAGATGCACAAGGCCCCACCCCACTCCAATCTGGCTCCTGCCTACTTCTAGCTTTATGACGCCCACCCCCCACCACCACACCCACACAATTTAATCCACAGCAACACTGCAACTAACTACTAAACTACTAACAGGCCCTCTGCCTGGAATCCTTTATCACCCCTCCAGGAAGCCTTCCTGGACCACACCGGACTTGATTAGGTGCCCTTTCTTTCAGTGCTCAGAGCCCCTCCTGCTTATCTTTAGCACAGGACTAACCACAGCTGATTTTTTACAAAGGTAATTCAAAGTGGAAAAGATAGTCTTTTCAACAGATTGTGCTGGAAAATTGGATATCTATGTGGGGGAAAATGATCCTTACCTCACACCATACATAAAAATTAATTTGAATGTATCATAGACAAAAAACAAATAAACAAACAAACCAGGGTTCAGAGAGCTTCTGGGTTAGCAAACACCTCCTCATACAAGGAGGATGATGTGCCCCAGCCCCTTGGAAATTGAAGCTCCTGAGATCTCAGCACTTGCAGACCCTGCCTTATGTACCCCTTCATGTGGCTGTTACTCTATATCCTTTATAATATTCCTTATAATAAACTGGTAAACATTTTTTAAATGTATCATGGACCTAGACAAAAAGCTAAAAATAGCAATTTTAGGAGAAAATCTTGTGACCTCACCTTAAGTGAGGCAAAGATTTCTTAGAACAAAAAGCATGAACCATCAAAAAATTCTGATGAATTGAACAGGGTCACAATTAGAAACTTTGGTTTTTCACCACTAAGAAAATAAAAAGACAAACCACAGACTGCAGTGGACTTCCATGCATTGCTGTGGTTAATATAAAATAGTATGACTGCTTTAAATGCCACCTGAGAGCTTCTTATGAAGTTGAAACACCATATAACCAAGCCATCCTATTCACTTGTAGTTATTTTACCCTACAGGTGAAATGGAAACATACACCCACACAAAGACTTTATAGGGATGTTCAAGGCAGTTTTATTCACCATCTCAAAACCAGAAACAACCCAAACGTCTTTCTCTGGGGTCCTGAGAAGACACCTCCCCAAGAGTATAGCTGGGCCTCCCCCCCGGATCCCTGCTAACATGCAGATGGATAAATAGCTTGTGGTATACACACACTGCCCACCAATGATAATGGTACACACAACTATGTGGACTCTCAAAAGCATTGTGCACAGTGAAAGAAGCCAGGCACAAAAGACCACACACTGTATGGTTCTATGTGTATGAAATTTCGGGGAAGACAAAGCATAGAGATAAAAATCAGATGAGCGGTTGTCTGAGGCTAGGGACGAGGGAGGATGAAGGACTAACTGCAAAGGGGCAGAAGTGAACTTTGGGGGGTAATAAAAGCATTTTACATCTTGAATTGGACTGTGGTTAGCCCGGTGCTTTCACTTGTCAAGTCAGAAAACTACGCGGTACTTAAAATTTATGCTATTTGCTCTACGTAAGTAATACCTTGATGAAGTAGTATTTTTTTTGTGGGGGCTGCTGTGAAGCATAAAGGAGAAGATGGGTGAAGGGATTCTGCTCAAGACCTTCCAAAAAGCCAAAGACCAAAAACCATTGATTTGTTTTGGGGGAGAGGAGGGCGGGGGGAGGGGCTGGGTTCTCTGCGCACTTCAGCCTCACAGAGAGGATCAGGGAACTACTCCCCCGCCAGGGAGTAGTGTCAGTTGGCGGGCCACCACGTTCCGTCCAGCAGCCACCAGGCGAGGGCACGGACCCACTGTGAGCCGGGAGGCTACGAACTCTCCAGCAAGGGGGGGGGGGGGGGGGGGGGGGGGGGGGGGGCGGCGGGGGGGGGGTCCGTTCCTGCGGCCGAGGGACCGGCACCGGAAGCGGTGGGTGCGGCTCCGCGTCCTGCGCTCCCGGGAGCGTCCTGCCGCCTCCTAGGGCCTGGCGTCGAAGAACAGAGCCTGGGCGGTGGTGCACACAGCCCCGCCTGTCAGGCAACCTTGGGCCGGTCACCTGTCCTCCGCTGGTAGTGCAGCAGGGAAGCTCTTTCCGGCAACCGAGGTGCGGCGCCGGCAGCTGCTGTGGTGTGACAGAACCTGCCTCTGCGGCTCCGCTCTCCAGGCGAGGCCTGCAGAGAGGCTCGCCGGCGCCTCCAGCCCCTCCGACCTTCTTCGCTCAGTGAAGCAGGCCGTCCGAGCTTTACCAAATCCCCACCCAAAAAGGACTGAAAATTTTTGTTCTAAACGACACAAGAAGTATGGCCTAGATCGTTTAATTATCCATGGTGCTAAAAAGGCAGCTCACCAGCCGTGGCTCGCCGAGGAGGGGACCGCTAACGGAATAAGCTGGAATGCAGAGAGGGAAGAGACCGGTCACCGCCCGGAGGGACACGAGACCCTCCGCGCCCTCCCCTGCAGTGGCCGCAGCCCGCCGGGGACGCAGTGGGCCGCCCCGCCCACCGGCTGGCTCGCCGGTCTGCAGCCGTCTCCTCCGGGCGCACCGCGCAGAGCTCCGGATTCCCTGGACCCTGCGGAAAGGCCACCGCGTGGAGGACACGCCGCCCCTCTCTGGCCCTCTGGTCCCCGCGGCTCCTGGCCCGACGCCACCAGCATCGCAGGTGCAGCCCAGGGCAGCGCGGGTGAGTGGGCCGGAGCAGCTCGGGAAGAGTGGATGGAGTTCAAGGCGGGTGGGAGAGGTGGGCAGAAAGCAGGGGGGTCGGCAATTGTTCCCATTCCTACCTTCGTTAGCTGCCGAGAGACCAGCAGGTGCTAGAACTGGGTTGGCAGGCAGGGGAGCTATGGACCCCCGCATCCTCGCAGGCACCTTTCCCCACACCCGAACGCTAGATCGCGACCCGTGCGGAGACCTAGACTTGAATCCTTTCCTGCTACGGGCTGGCATTCTTGGCTGGTTTCAGAACTTTGCTTTCCCCATCTATAAAGTGGGATTATAATGCCACTTCCCAGGGTCCCTGTGAGGATGAAACCGCAAGATGCGGCCAAGTGATGAGCAGGAAGCCTGTGGGGGCAGATAGGTCCACGTTATCCCCTCTTCCGGCCTTGCGGGTGCATTCAGGCACAGAAAGCGCCCCCAGCCTTGGACCTCGGTTCAACAACCTGGGTACTGGAGTTCTGGCTAGGAAAGAATTCAGACCCAAGATTTAAACGATGAGAGAAAGTTTATTTATGAAGTCACAGAGGTAGAAGTAATGAGTGGTTGAAGAAATGGGCTCATGAAAACTTACAGAGGCAAAAGAGGGGCGGTTGAAGCTTAGGAGAAACACAGAGAAGGAAAGTGCCTGGGAGAAGGCAGTGGGGAAATGCAAGGGCATGCTCTATGGAGACACTCTCTGGGTCCTGGCAGTGTGTGTGTGTTGGGGGTGGGGGAGTCCCAACACAATATTGATCAGATTTCCAACTGTGTCCTTTCAGAGCCCTGGTTTCTACTAATTGTTGCACACCAGGGCAGGGGGTCATTATTAGTCAGTGCAGCTGGCCCTGATGACAGCCATGGCACTGCCTGTCTGGTTTTGCTACCTTTCTGGGCCTGGAGCTGAAACACAACTAAGACCTAGATTTTAATTCTAGGGACTAATGCTTAAAGGAGTGGTGTGCAAGGACCCTCGTGGGAGGCCACTCATGGGCCCCTTATTGCTCCTTCAGGGGGGTCTACCACGTAGCTAGCTAGCAACATGCCACAGGAGAAAAGGTCAGGGGAGGGTCCAAACCTCATGACCAGTGATATGAAAGGTCAGGGGGTCTAAATCGCATGACTTGTGATATGCAAGCTAAGGGACAGTTACCCTGGGGGCAAGGTCCTTCTTTTGCTAGTTTTGCCCATTGCTAGGCACCTAGAGCTTTCTGTCCTGGTGACCTACTGTACCTGGCCCATTGTCCTTCCTCTGCTCCTGTCTAAGTGCTTACCACACTTCCACAGGATGAGAGAATGGCCTCCTTACCCAGGAGTCTCATGGGGGTGAAACCCAAAAAGCCAGCATTGGTGCTGCCTGTCACTACCAGATCCAAACAGCAGTGACAGGGATTGAATTTCTATGGACGCTTTATTCAGATGGTTGGTGATCTGAGAAGACAGCAAGTTTGTACCCTAACAGACCATCTTAAATTCTGACCCTTTGTATAAGGAGAAGAAAAGTGTAGGTAAGGGGCTTGGAATTCAAGGGAAAAGTTAATCAGATGAAAGCTGCAGCATTCTTTCATCTCGTCCTGGGGGTCGTCTTTATCTGTGTCCTAGGGCAGTGGGTGTGTCACCCTGGAGCACAATGGCCCAGATACTGTCTTGACTGCTTGCACTTTTCCTGAAGCACAAAGATTGCTCACGGTCTCCTGGAGTCAGCATGGTTCGCACCTCCAGTTCTTGAAACAATGGCTTTTTACATATATCAATTACTAAGCTTTATTAGCTATTACCTGAAACTAAAGTTTTCCCAAAATTTGAGTCCCTCATCATTCCCCCACTGTTAGTTTAAACTATCTTATTTCTAAGAGATCAGTTTCATTGGAAGTACTCATTTTGTTGTTGAGCATATCTTAGCATTAGCCCTTCTGATGGGGGCTTAGGGACACATTTAATTGCAGATCCACATAAGGGGGCACCTTGTGTGTAACAACAAGCTATAATAAATCAAAAAATAGTTTTTAGCACAACTGACAAAAATTGTACACTCTCCAGCCAGGGCTACATTAATGACTTTTAAGGAAAACATTTCCCTACCCTTTAGAGTTATGACAGGTTCCCAATTATAAATATCAGAGTAGGTTATTTTCTTATTGATATGCTTAAACAAAGTATAATTTCAAAGGCTTTCCAGGGGAGTACAAACACCTATAAGACATGTAGAGAAAGTTTGTTCAACATTAAGTTCCTCCTGTAAGACACAATTCAGAGATGTTTACTACATTTTTGCTAAATATATCCAAATATTTTTAAGTATCTTTTATTGCTTATGCTGTTACAGTTGTCCATTTTCTTTCTCCCCTTTATTCCACTCCCCACTGCACCCCTTCCTTCAACCATTCTCCCCCTTAGTTCAGGTCCATGGGTTGTACATATAAGTTCTTTGGCTTCTCCATTTCCCACACTATTCTTAACCTCCCCCTGTCTATTATCTACCTACCATTTATGCTACTTATTTCCTGTACCTTTTCCCCCATTCTCCCACTTACCCTCCCCACTGATAACCCTCCATGTGATCTCCATTTTTGTGATTCTCTTCCTATTCTTGTTGTTTGCTTAGTTTGGTTTTGATTTTAAGGTTCAGTTATTGATAGTTTATTGTCATTTTACTGTTTATAGTTGTAATCTTTTTCTCAGAGGAGCCCCTTTAACATTTCATATAATAAGGGCATGGTGATGACGAACTCCTTCAAGTTGTCCTTATCTGGGAAGCACTTTACCTGCCCTTCTGTTCTAAATGATAGCTTTGCTGGATAGAGTCATCTTGGATGTAGGTCCTTGCCTTTCATGACTTGGAATACTTCTTTCCAGCCCCTTCTTGCCTGCAAGATTTCTTTCAAGAAATCAGCTGATAGTCTTATGGGCACTGCTTTGTAGATAAATGTCTCCTTTTCTCTTGCTGCTGTTAAGATTCTCTCCTTACCTTTAATCTTGGGTTATGTAATTATGACGTGCCTTGGTGTGTGCCTCTTTGGGTCCAACTACTTTGGGACTCTCTGAGCTTCCAGAACTCACATGTCTAGTTCCTTCACCAGATTGGGAAGTTTTCCCTCATTATTTTTTCAAATAAGTTTTCAATTTCTTGCTCTTCCTCTTCTCTTTCTAGTGCACCTACTATTCAGATATTGGAACGTTTAAAGATGTCCTGGAAATTCCTAAGCCTCTCCTCTTTTTTTTATTTTAATTCCTTTCTCTTCATACTGTTCTGGTCGAATGTTTATTTCTTCCTTCTGGTCCAAACCATTGATTTGAGTCCCAGTTTTCTTCCCATCACTGTTGGTTTCCTGATATTTTCCTTTATTTCACTTTGCATAGCCTTCATATTTTTCTTCTATTTTGGGACCATACTCAACCATTTCTGTGAGTGTCCTGATTACCAGTGTTTTGAACTCTGCATCTGATACTTTGTCTATCTCCTTGTTGCTTAGCTCTATTTTTGGAGCTTTGATCTCTTCTTTCATTCGGACCATATTTCTTTGTCTCCATTCACCTGTTATTTTGTAAGGGGCAGAGCCTTAGGTATTCACCAGGGAGGGCAACTGATGTTGCTGTGTTGTGGTGCTCTATGGGGGCGAGGGGTCCGAGAGGGAACAATGCCATTTGGTTTACTCTTGCCCAGCTTTCATTTACTTCCCTCACTTCCCACAAGTGGATTGTGCCTTTTCAGGTGCTGATTCCCAGGTGGGTGGGCTTGTGTACATTCTATGATCCTGTGGGCCTTTCCAATGGACTCTCTTATGAGACTGGGAGTTTCTCCAGCTGCCCAACCCCCACAGGTGTTTACAGCCAGAGGTATTGAGACTTTAGTTTCCCACACTGGAACCCCAGGTTGGATGGCCTGTCTCACCCCCGGTTGTTCCTCCTAATTTATCTGCATGTGAATGTGGGATATTCTGGTCTGCCAGCCACCACCTTGTCTTGTGTCCTCACCACCTTGGCTCCCCATCTCTCCTCCTACTAGTCTGGATGAATGTTTTTACAATTTCTTGGTTGTCAGACTTCTGTACAGTTCGATTTTCTGGCAGTTCTGGTTGACTTTTGTTTTTAAATTGGTTGTTATCCTTCTTTTGGTTGTTCGAGGAAGTAAAGCATATCTTTCTACACCTCCATCTTGGCCGGATATTTTTATCCCATTTGAAAGGAACAAGTTCCCTATAACATGGGTTTAAACAAAATTAAAGAAAAGAATATAAGTCATTGTTCTCAAAAGATGACTTTAAGGTCTTTTTGAGGTTCAGCAGTTTATTGCTCCTCCGGTGCTTTCTTTACTGTGGTGCGATGAATCCAAGGGTTTATTTCTGCCAACTTCACTACAGTGGAGGTTGGTGAGGAGAACATCCCAAGGTTCAGTCCACTTTTTTTCTAGTTGGTTCTCTGGAGATTCTGTCCTCCAAGTCTTGAGTAGCACCATAACCCCAGGCTCAAAGAAATGAAGCCAACCTGTAGGGGAGAAGTTTCTAATACAAGCAAAATCATTAATACAGCCAAAGTCTTATTTAAGTGTTGTACATTTTCTTCACCTTCACTTCTTGATCTAGATACATATCTCCCACACCAATCATAGCCTGAAATGGTTGGCTGTACACAATTTCAGAAGGACTCAACTGAATCCACTTTGAGGAGCCACCCTTATCCTGAGGGGGGCAATAGGTAAAGCTTGATCCCAATGGAGAACAGTTTCTTGGCACAGCTTGACTATATTTTTCTTTAAGGTGTGATTCATCTTCTCTAGGTAAAGAAGCCTGAGGTCTCCATGCTGTGTGGAGCCTCCACTTAATTCCTAAAAATTTACTAACCTTCTGTGTAGTTTCTGAAACAAAAGCAGGTCCATTGTTGCTCTGGATACTGTCACGCAGACCAAAGTGAGGGATTATTTCCTTCAGTAGGGCTTTCACTACCTGGAGGATTTCTCCATTCTTATAGGATAGGTTCTACCCATTCTGAAAAGGTGTCAACAGAGACTAACAAATATTTCCATCCTTGGGCCCTTGGCATTTGAGTAAAGTCTATTTGCCAATTTCAAATGGGCATCGTCCTTGGTGTTGTTTCCCTTCTTTCTTTTCATGGGGATCTGTCTCCTGGCACAGGAGTTTTTCTCCTGGCACACAACACATCTAACAATAGCTTTTTGTATGGCCTTAGAAATTTCAGGACCTGTGAGCCACAGTTTAATATACATGGTTAATGACTCCCTTACATAGTGAGTGGCCTCATGCAAATGCTTCATGACTGCCTGTAATAAATGTTCAGGAAGCAGTATAACTTCTTTCTTATTCTTTCTCCATCCACTATTAGCTCCTTCATCAGAACCCCAGCTCTCAGCTTTCTCTAAGTCTACAGTCAAATATTCAGGGTCAAATTGTGACAAGTCTAAAGCAGGTACCAAAGGCATTATAAACATTCCTTTACCAACCACTTTCGCTGCTCCACCAGCTAGATTGTTTCCTCTTGCCACTTCAGTGCCCTCATTATGATGCCCTGGGCAGTGCATAACTGCCACCTGTAAAGGTACCTGAACAGCTTCTAATAATTTTAAAATTTTGCTGCATGCTTAATCTCCTTTTTATTGGAAGTTAATGGTTCTTTTCCCTTCCATATGGAACCATGTGATTGCAAAATTATGAAATCTTACTTTGAGTCAGTGTACATATTTGCTTTCTTTTTGTGCAACAATTCCAGAGTCCTCATCAATGCAATCAATCAGTCCAGGATTCTGGGCAGAGGTTCCTGGCAGCAAAGCCTTGACCTCTACTATTCCCTCAAAGATCATATCTGCATACCAAGCCTTCCTGTTTCTTTTGTCCATATAACTGTTTCTATCTGCATATAGAGTCCAGTCTGCCTCTTCTTGAGGATGGTCAGTTTTGAGGGAGCCATTGGGATTGTTGAGAAGAATGGCTTGGTACCTGCTTTCCTTCATCCATTTTAAAGGGATATACTCTGTCCTTTCAGAGTTTTTCCAGTTTAACAGATCTGATGTAGAAAACGAAGCATGTGCCTATAATATCCAGCAGGTTGGCTCTTTGGCCCTAGTCCCACTGGACGTTTTTGCAAAGGGTATTGCTCTTCCCTGGTGGGGGCTTTTCCTCCACCGAATTTGGTTCCCTGGTGGGTTCCAGATGGCAAGAGCAGTTCAGGCTCACTGTTCCCAGTTCCCTCAGTCAAGTAAGGAGGAAGATCCCACCAGGGCTGGAGGGACCCTGGGAATGCTCATCCTGATTATGTAAACTCATGAAAATTTCTAGGTAAAGCATTTTGTCCCACTTCCCCAATCTTTGACAAAACAATAACTCTAGTTACAGTACAATGCAGTAATTTACAGACCCCTTCAGCAGCCAGCATTCTCCTGAGTCTAGATTATACAATACATAAGCCAAACAGTATTACAATAAAAACCACTTTCTTTTTAGTCACAGGTTTACAAGCAGAGGTCAATCAATCAGCCAAAACTTGTCCCAAAGTGCTGTTTCCAAGAATGAAGACTTCTCCTCTCATTCTACCAGACAGAGCTTTGTAATGTTACAAAATCAGAAGACACCTTTTTACCAGACAGAGCTCTGTAAACCAGAAACACTTTAATTCCTGACCATCTAAGTCATAACCTGGGACGGCATCCTGAACCAGAATGTGTAGTGATGCAATCAAATGTGAAGACAACAGGAGGTGCTGAGAGTTGGAGGAGGAGAGTCCCCAAGTGAAATCAGTTGGCAGCTGCTAGGAAGTCTCCAGATCCACACCCGAGGGCCCCCCAGTCCGAGCAGCCAGGGGGACTCCCTGCCAAATACCCAGATTTACCTGAGAGTCCCAAAGTCTGTCCCGGAGTGAAGTCTCCAGAATATGAAACTAGAAAAGCCAGCATTTGAGCTGCCTGTCACCTACCAGACCCAGTAAGCAGAGATAGGGATTGAATTTTTATGGGTACTTTATTCAGATGGCCAGCGGTCTCAGAAAATGGTGGGTTTGTACCCTAACAGACCATCTTAAATTCCAACCCTTTTTATAAGGAGAAGAAAAACATCACTAGCCATCAGAGAGATGCAAATTAAAACCACAGTGAGATACCACTTCACATGGGTCAGAATGGGCATCATAAACAAATCAATAAACAATAAGTGTTGGAGAGGATGTGGAAAAAAGGGAACCCTAGTGCACTGTTAGTGGGAATGCAGATGGTGCAGCCACTGTGGAAAACAGTCTGGAATTTCCTCAGAAAACTAAAAATGGAACTGCCTTTTGACCCACCAATACCACTGTTGGGATTATACCCTAAGGATTCTGAAACACCAATTCAAAAGGACCTATGCACCCCAATATAGCACAATTTACAATAGCCAAGTACTGGAAGCAATTTAAATGACCATCAGTAAATGAGTAGATCAAAAAACTGAGGTACATTTACATAATGGAATTCTACACAAAAGAAAGAAAGGAGGTCCTACCCTTTGCAACAGCACGGATGGAACTGGAGAGCATTATGCTAGGTGAAATAAGGCAGGTGATGAAAGAGAAATACCATGTGATCTCACCTATTAATAGAACCTAATCAACAAAACAAACAAGCAAGCAAAATATAACCAGAGACATTTAAATAAAGAACAAACTAACAGTGACCAGAGAGGAGGGGGGAGAAGGATAATAGGGGATAATGGAGGAAGGGCCATCAAGGAACGTGTATAAAGAACACAAGGACAAAGCCAAAGGGGTTAGGAGCAAGGGGAGGAGGCAGGGATGGGTGGGGCAGAGGGTGAAAATGGAGACAACTATACTTAAACAATAAAAAATAAATTAAATTAAAAATAAAAATTTGAAGGTACCACACTAATAATCAACAATGGTTAGCACTAAAGAGAAAAGTGTAGGTAAAGGGTTTGGAATTCAGGGGAAACGTTAATCAGATGAAAGCTGCAGCATTCTTTCATCTATGTCCTGGGCACTGCGTGTATCACCCTGGAGCACAATGGCTCAGATACCATGTTGATTACTTGAGACCTCCTGCGACATGAGGATCTGCTTATGGTCTCCTGGAGTCAAGGTGTATCACACCTTCAGTTCCTGAAACAATGGCTTTTTACATACATTGATAACTAAGTTTGTTAGCTATTACCTGAAACTAAAATTTTCCCAAAATTTGAGTCCCCCATCAGGGGCATGGACAAGGGTAAAAGCTGGGACTTCTGATCAACATGAGTTCCTGTGTAGGTGTAGGGTAAATATACTTTGCCTCCTTGCACAACCAAAAGAAGGACAACAAGAAATTTAAAAACAAAAAAAAATAACCAGAACTGACAGAAAATCAAACCATATGGAAGTCTAACAAACAACTAAAGAGGAAACATTCATTCAGACTGGCAAGAGTGGCAGAGACATGCAGCTAGGATGGAGAGGATGTGCGGCAAGGTGGTGGCTGGCAGGCCCGGTGGTCTCACGTTTGCATAGGGATAAATGGGAAGGAACAACTGGGGAGACAAACCACACAACCCAGGGTTCCAGCACAGAGAAAAGAAAGCCTCAAAACCTCTGGCTCTAAATATCTGTGGGGATTGTGGCAGCAGGAAAAACACCCAGCCTCACAGGTGAGTTTGTGGGAGAGACCCACAGGGTCCTAGAACATACACAAACTCATCCACCTGGGAATCAGCACCAGGAGGCCCAATTTGCTTGTAGTTAGCAGAGGAAGTGACTGAGAGCCAAGCGAGCAGCATTGTTCCCTCTCTGACCCCTCCCCCACATACAGCACCACAACGTAATTATGTGGATTGCCCCCACCCCGGGAATACATAAGGTTCCACCCCTTACAACATAACAGTTGCACCAAGACAAAGAAAAAAAGGCCCAAATGAAAGAATAGATCAAAGCTCCAAAAATAGAGCTAAGCAACAAGGAGATAGACAAACTATCAGATGCAGAGTTCAAAACACTGGTAATCAGGATGCTCACAAACTTGGTCGAGTATGGTAGAAAAATAGAAGAAAAAGTGAAAGCTATGCAAAGTGAAATACAGGAAAATATACAGGAAACCAACAGGGACGGGAAGGAAACTGGGACTCAAATCAATGATTTGGAGCAAAAGGAAGAAATAAACATTCGATCAGAACAGGATGAAGAGAAAAGAATTCAAACAAATGAAGAGGCTTAGGAAGCTCCAGGACAACTTTAAAAGTTCCAACATCTGAATCATAGGGGTGCCAGAAGGAGCAAAGGGAGAGCAAGAAATTGAAAACTTATTTGAAAACATAATGAGGGAAAATTTCCCCAATCTGGCAAAGGAAATAGACTTCCAGGAAGCTCAGAAAGTCCCAGAGTAGTTGGATGCAAAGAAGCGCACATTAAGGCAAATCATAATTACATTACCCAAGATTAGAGATAAGGAGAGAATCTTAACAGCAGCAAGAGAAAAGGAGAGAGTTTCCTACAAAGGAGTTCCCATAAGACTATCAGCTGATTTCTCAAAAGAAATCTTACAGGCAAGAAGGGTCTGGAAAGAAGTATTCAAAGTCATGAAAGGCAAAGACCTGCATCCAACATTCCTCTATGGGATAGAGTCTATCCAGCAAAGCTATCATTTAGAATGGAAGGGCAGATAAAGTGCTTCCCAGATAAGGTCAGGTTAAAGGAGGTCATCATCACCAAGCCCTTATTATATGAAATGTTAAAGGGACTTATCTAAGAAAAAGAACAAAATTATGAAGAGTAAAATAACAACAAACTCACAACTATCAACAACTGAACCTAAAAAACAAAACAAAACAAAAACAAACTAAACAAACAACTAGAACAGGAACAGAATCACAGAAGTGGAGATCACAAGGAGGGTTATCATCAGGGAGTGGTGGGGGGTGAAGACAGAATGTGGGGGAAGGTACAGGGAATAGGAAGCATAAACGGTAGGTACAAAATAGACAGAGGGAGGTTAAGAATAGTATAGGAAATGGAGAAGCCAAAGAACTTATATATACGACCCATGGACATGAACTAAGGGGAGTGAATGCTGGAGGGAGGGAGTGGGAGTGCAGGTCAGAGGTGGATAAAGGGGAGAAAAAATGGGACAACTGTAATAGCATAATAATTGATTTTAATAATCAATAAAATATACTTTAAAAAATGGGTAAAAGCCCTTTCACCAAGGGCGCTCGATACAGCCTTGCCAGTGATCACCTACTCTGCTTTGGTTGGTGGCCATCTGGGCCTTTGCGTGGGACGCACAATATGGCAAGGGCAATTGCAGCTTCTGTTAAGGAGGACATCCTTCCCTGTTCCTTCTAACACGTCAGTCTTCGTCTATGGCCGTAACAGCCCGAATGTTCGCGATCTCCTGTAAAAGGTCGATCTTCACCCCAGACATCTTTGCATCAGGGAACCACCATCAAAGCTATTAACACTGTAAAACTCCTTCCAGAGCCGAGTTCCCGTGCTGCGGGTGGGAGCCGGAAGGTCGTGGATGGTCGCTTGATGTGGGCCAGTTAACGGAGGCACCTTCAGCTCTCTCTCTCTCCCTCGGTCCGTTTGGGCCGCCCGAAAAAGGAAGCAGCCGGGTCCGACGTCGGTGGAGGTGCCTGCGGGGCTCACTGCGGACCCAGAGTCCAGGGGAGCATGAAATTCAGCCCCAGTCAGAGAAAAGGGTGGAGAAGCACTCTCACCCATCCACGCCCGTGGGATGGGCCCCAGGGCCTGGAGCCAGGTCTTGGCCTTGAGAGATGCGGTCCCTGTGCCTTTGGAGAAGGAAAAGGTTCCTCTGGAGGACGCTCAGGGCCCCCGCCCCCCCCCCCGTCCAGCACTCCGCCCCCCCGCCCCCCCCCCCCCCGCAGTGTTCAAACCGTCCGACGGCCCGACGGGAGGCGGCACCCCGGGCCGCTGCCCGCTCCTGGGAACAACCGCCCAGCGGCTTCGACCCGGAGTCGAGTTTGAAGGTGGGGCCGGTCCTCGGGGCGACCACCACCCGGGGCAGCCGTTCGCAACCGTGTCCGTTAGCAGCCGCGTCCCCGGAGCCGCCGGGGGCCTCTCTGACTCCGCGGGGAAGGCCCGCGCCCCCACGCCCACGCCACGGGGCCGCGCCCGGCGCCCGTCTGTGGTCGTGGGCACTGGCGCCCCGGCCCCCCAGCCGCGTGCCCGCCGGCCTGGGCGCTGTCCGTTGGCCGAGGCCCCTGTTCTCCGCCCCCCCCCCCGTCGGAGCCCGGGCCCCGGCGGGCGCTGGAGCCGCAGGCTCGCATCCTCCGCGGGCCGAGGGGAGCCGCCGTGGCCCAGCGCGTTGGTGCCGGCCCTGCCCTCTGGGGCCCCCCGGGCGCGGGCAGCTGCCAGGGCCTCTCCTCCCGCCTGGCCTCCGCCTGGGGCGCCCCGGCGGGAGCCGCGCGCGGGTCTCCCTCGGAAGGACCCCCCTCCCCCCGCGGCTGTGAAATCCGATGCCCCCGCTTTGTCGCCGCCTCCCCCCCCCCCCCCCACACTTCCCATTCTGTCCTTGACCCCGGGCACCGCCCCCGCCCCCCCCAGTGGGCCCATCCGAAGTGTTCTGGGGGGGGGGCCGGGGGGGGCTACTGGACCCGAATGGGTCCCAGGCCAGGGGCGTGCCACCGCCCAGGGCACAGAAACAACCGGAAGTCCGCACAGCGGTCCGAGCACCGCGAGGTGCAGAGCCTGACACGGGGCCCTGCAGGAAGGGAGTTAAGGAGGGCTTCTCTGGTCCCGGCAGTTGAAGCAAAATGGATAATGAAAGAAACCACTTATGTTTGCTTTTTTAAAATCATTATTTCGTCCTCACAACAGCCCTGAGGTATTATTGTTATCCTCATTTTATAGGTAAATTAGGGTTCAGAGAGATTAAGTGCCTTTCACCATGAGCAAGTGGAAACAAGGATTTGAAACCGGCCCCAGCCGACGCCAAAGCTGGTCTTAACCTCCACATTTATTAATATGAACATAGGGGGCAAAGAAAGCAATGCGAGTAAAGACGCTGAAGTGAGAGACACGGAAGGATAGAAGAGGGGACCAAATGCTATTGCATTGTGTGGGGGAATGGTATTTTGGCATCCATTCATTTCTGGAACATTT